GCAATTGGTACCCATTGGTACCCATTGGAATTCCAATAGGTTGTTGGAATACCTGGTCTCCAAAAACCACATTGATATTGTCAATCAGAAACTCAAGCTTCTTTTTGATGTCAACTTCAGAGTACTTGTGTGTGCAATCAGAAGTTGTTTTAACAAAATGATTTTGCAAATGACCAATAACAAGGTAAGTAAATTTACGAGTTCCATTTTTATTGAAAAAGCAGCTGTCAATGATAACAAAAAGCCTGGACTAATTTATCATGGGAATGGTTGTGTATAAAGTTGAAAAGTCGTAAGTTTTTAAGCTGTTAATTTTGGAAAATTCTTGTGATTTTAAATTGTCCAAAAGTTCTTTGGAATTCATCCACATCTGATTCACACCACTTCTTAGATATATTTTTGCGCAGTACTCTTGAAGTTTTTCCTTCACTACTGTCAATATCTTAGTGAGGAGTAACGAAAGAGGCTTGGTTGAACATTTACCGGAACAAAAATCATGCTTAGATTCTTCATGAGCTAACATGTTTAGAAAAAAGACAATAACTCCATGTCTTACGTAGGATATATTGTGATTTTTTAATCTCCATTAAAGCAGCTGCATTGACATTTTATTTTATATATACAATACACACTGTAAAGAAACCTTGTAGAAAACTTGATTCAATAAAATACAAGAGGCCTAAGGGCCTTGAATCGCTCTTCTGATAAATTATACAATCTATCATTTCTATTTGAAGCCTCTAACCCTAAGTATCCTAAGACCCAAGTTGCATCAACTGACAAAGTTTGATGATTCTTAGCCAATTAGGACTGAAGATATTTTAATAAAGCTATATAAAAACATAAATACGTCACAGTGACCTACTTTAAGACTGAAGTTTTCTGAGGACTTAAGATGCATTAATAGACAAAGATTGAAGATTCTAAGCCAATAAGTATTTGAGATATTAAAAAATAGGTCACCGTTACCTACATTTTTTGTCTACATTCTTTGAAAACTCAAGATACATCAACTGATAAAGTTTGATGATTCTAAGCCAATAAGTACCTGAGATATTCAAAAGTAGGTCACCATGACCTACTTTTTTGTCGACATTCTCCGAAAATCAAAGAGTCCACAACTGACAAATTTTAACAATTCTAGGTCAATAAGTACTCGAGATATGAAAATATAGCCATAAAATGTCAAAAGTAGGTCAAGGTGATGTAATATTAGGTTTGCATTCCCCAAAAACCCAATATGCATCAACTGACAAAGTTTGATGATTCTAAGCCGATATGTACCTGATATACTTAAATATAGCCATAAAATGTCTAAAGTAGATCATCGTGACCTACTTTTTTGTCTACATTCTTGGAAAACCCAAAATACATCAACTCACAAAGTTTAATAATTGTAAACCAATAAGTAGCTGAGATATTCTAAAGAAGGTCACACTGACCTACTTTTTGGTTGACATTCTCTAAAAACACAAGATGCATCAACTCACAAAGTTTGATGATTCTAAACCAATAAGTGCTGGAGATACTAAAATAAAGCCATAAAATGTCAAAAAGTAGGCCATAAAGTCATTAAGTTCAAAAAGTAGGTCATGGTGACTTACTTATAAGATGACGTTGTTCAAAGACCCAAGATGCATCAACTGACAAAGTTTGATAATCATAGGCCTTAAAGTGTCTAAAATATGCCTTCAAATCAATTTAAAAAGAAATGCCGGCAAAAATTAAAAAGTAGGTCACCGTGACCTTCTTTTGAATTAACATGATGTAAAGTCCTAAGATGCATCAACTTACAAGATTTGATGATCCTAGGCCTAATAATAAGCAGAATATAAACATTTTAAAATATTTTCAAATTTAAAGTGACCTTGAGACCACGCCCTTTGCCCCAGGGTAATTCCCCGTGCAAATTTTAATCTTCAACATATCCTGATACTTGTTTGTAAGTTTGGTGAAAATCTGCCTGGTGGTTCTGGAGAAGAAGATTTTTTTTAGCAACCAGTACTTTTTGTTTTGTTTTCCTGATTATCTCCCCTTGTTTAAGGGTCCCAACCCTTATTTTAGTATAAAGGGTAGCCCTTGGGCCAAGGATACCATGTGACAAATTTGACACTGATTGACCAAGGTGTTCTTGAGTTATGGCCCATATTCTAAAAAGTTTACGCACACCACACACCGCACAAATGGCCATAGCATTAGCTCTTTGAGCCTTTGGCTCAGAAGAGCTAAAAATGTAAATACAAAATGTCCAGCCTGTCTCTTTTTTCTCTTTCTGTAGCATCTCTCTTCCCATCCCCTCAGTGAATTATGCTTGAAAACAATAACTCAAAAAAGTAAATGAAATTTAAGATTATGCACGAAAAATATGCATCAATACGGCCGAGAATGCATGTATGAGCGGCATGTGATGTGTAGCAATACATGTGTACATGGTGTCATCATGTATCAGGAGAGGTTTCAGTCATAAATTAATTAATTTTACAATTAAGGTAAAAGGCTCGTCACACATTGCAACAAAAAATATAACAATTGCTTGACTTTAAGAAAATATTCAGGAGTAAAAAATGACAAGATTTCCTAATATGAATTGCATTAATTAAACCAAACAGGAAATCTCTCTCATTTTGAAACGGAAGTTAAACTGCTATATTATTCATCTATGACCAAACTATTTCAATTCTGAGGCATAAAACCCGCAGGCATGCATTGTTGATTGTGTGATATTTGTGGAAAATTTGATTGATTGTGTATGAGACCCACTTGCACTGTCCGAAGACAATAGAAAAAATAAATGGAGATAACGAACAGTATTCAGCTCAAAAGTCCATTAAACAATACAAAAAAAGAGCAGAGTAAACATGGACCTCCAAAACATCAGATGTGGGATCAGGGTGCCATGAAGGAGTGAGCATCCCTTGTCGACCGGTCATCGTGAAAAAAAAAAACGGAAAATCCGTCGTCAGTTCACCTTGTAAATAATGGACTAACAATTAATATGAAAAACGTTTGTCAGCATTTGACAAATGATAAATTGTATTTGCTGACAATTTCATTGTTTCGAGGGTAGAACTTACGAAATGATGAATCTAAACGAGACTGCTGATATTCTTGTTCCATCAACTTGTTTGTCAATAATTTATTCCGTTTTAGAAATTTTATCTACGCAGAGTATTTTCTTGACTATCGAATCAATTGAGATATATAATATCGTATGCAGTTAGTGAAGGTATATTGCTGCATAAGTAAGGGAAACTGAGGATTGAAAAGTTGAAATCATAACGTTTATCATAGAGCTTGGTTGTTAGATTGTCATTGCCGTCTTTTTCAAGTAAAATATTCAAATATGAAGCAGATGTGTCAGACTCCGTGGTATTTTTTATCTCAAGCTCACTGGATATATCGTTTCGACATAAGAATGGACCATTGTTCTTCAAAATTTAAGTCTTCAATTCATCTTCCTAATTTTTTCGATATCTAGACAGATAATCGTCTCAATGTTTCTCTTAAACCACAAATAAGATTCTAAAGTACACTTCAAAGACAAATATTAATGTAAAGTTTGAAGCATAAAAGTGGTGACGGACTTGATGAATCCAGTCAACAATACAAATGCTGAACTAGTGATACACGAGGCATGTGTACTTTATTCAACAAGGAATGGATGACCCCTGGTGTACGTACAATATGTTCGTATACATGCACTCCAATATACACATTTTACATACACATTAAAAATTCATAAATATATTTATATTCTCCAGTGTTATTTTATAAGTTCACTGAAGCTAACCTTTTATAGACCACATCATATCCATATTAAAGTAACACAAACACTAGCTTTGATGGATGAACTATAATATCTGTACACAATCAACGTATACCTCCTTTGAGCAGAAGAATACGATGGCCGATATCAGCCTGTACATATTCCGACTGCTATTGAAATTTGTACATCTAAAATGTACATTGACATGTACATTTTTCAATGACAGTGCACATTTTGTGCTCTTAATTTTTGTCTGTACACGTACATTTTGCAATGACAGTGCACACTTTGTGCTCTTAATTTTTGTCTGTACATGTACAAAATGGCAAAAAGGCAAATGTCAAAACGTGAGCGGTTGAAACGCATATGCTCTTAATTACAATTCCTGGTCGGCGAAACACCATTAAATATGTATAAAACTGTACAAATGGGAAGATTTGAACAATTATTATTAAAACAAGATGTGTTTTGTAAAACACTGTGCCACCAATGATAACACCATTCTGAGGTGGGACGTAGACGTGGTATACACTTGTAAGATGTTTTAAGGGTAGCAAAGGTGAAAACATTTAGGACCTTTTGTTTTAAAAAAAAGTATTGTGTTATGGTTAATTACTGAACACTTTATGAAACGCAATGTTACAATTTTTCAAATGGTCAAAGTTTACACTTGAGGTCACAATTATTTAAGTACGTTATATCATGGTTAGGCTCTTACTCATATGATGGCCTTTGCAACATGCATTCCTTTACGTTTGATTTTCTGGGTTCGATGGGGGCAATTTCTTGTTCAAAAAATGTTTGTGGAAGATGGTTTTCATCTATGGAAATTTCATTTTTTTTTTCAGTAAAAGAAGACAAATTTTAACTTTAGATCTAATGACCACAGGAATTTTTACATTTTCTTTTTAATATTTTTCATCCTTTTTATTGCAAAACTCTTCTTCTCAGTGCCTTGTCCAATTTTATACATATTTAATGGTTTTTCGCCGACCAGGAATTGTAATTAGAAGCATATGTGTTTCAAACGTATATGTTTTGACATTTGCCTTTTTGTCATTTTGTACATGTACAGACAAAAGCTGAGAACACGAAGTGTGCACTGTCATTGCAAAATGTACATGTCAATGTACATTTTAGATGTACAAATTTTAAAAGCAGTCGGAATTTGTACAGGCTGATATCGGCCATCGTAGAAGAAAACAAGTATAAACTTCAGATCAGAAAACTATTTTTCAAACACATCCCTTTTTATCTGTTTCAAAAGGGATCATCGGTGGAGGATGCTGATCTGCTTGTATTTGGCCGATTTATGGTCAGTCGTGTCTGTCCCGTGCCTTGGCTGCCTTTAGAGTCCAGCTCGAAGTGCTGGGAATTATTGTCCCTTACTCCCACGAAACAAAAACATGCATGTAGGTGGCAGTTTGGATGCGCAATGCGACAAGACGTGCGTATACTCTCTCGGAACTTTTTGGACATAAAACAGTACACAAAAGGGTTGATACAGGACTGAATGTACGGCAGGCACTCGATCACAATCTGAAAGTAATTAACTAAATTAATTACAAAATGTCTATGTAAGGCTTATACTTAAATACTTTTTATGAGAAAATAATGGAAAGTAATTGAAGGTAATTAAACCGTTTTTTTTACGAAAAACCTATAAAATCCTTATATTCTGTGAAATCACAAATTTTCGTTTAATTTTTGTATGGATCCACCACAAAATTAAAAATGTATATTCTTTGGTATAAAAGATTTACCTTAGAAAATATGTGATGTAACAGTATACACTGTATGAATATTAAAAATATGTGTTCTTTTGTATAAAAGATTTACCTTAGAATTAACCACGTCTAGTTTGCATCCTTGAATCATAAGCCTTATAGTTAGTTGATTTTAACTCTTACCTTTATTTTAAAGACTTCATCATAGAAAAGAATTTCTGGTGCCATTTTACTGATTACGTCAAATATTAGTTTTGGCCCCCAGCAAATAAGAAAAACAAGAACAACAGCGATCAACATCTTTATAATCTAAAAAAAAATAATAAAAACTGCTAACACTATGTAATGAAACAGTAAAAACATACATATCCATTCCTTCAATTTTTATTATTTCAATGTAAACTTCATTTAAAGAATACGAACCAATAGAAAAGAATTTAACTTTAATTTATATTAAAATTATAACTTTCTTCGGTCAAACGAAGTACAGTTAAAAATAAAATAAAATAAATCAAATGCTTTAAAAGTCGTGATTCCAGATCCTAGAAAGTACTCTCACCTACAATATTTTGATATAATGCCACGAGACAACAAATTAAAAAATAAACAACAGAACCACTTTACCTGTTTTCTGGCGTTTAATGTGTGGGACTGATGAAGTGACCCATCATGCTTTACACAGCACGGTTTACTTGTCGTCATATTATCAGTGTACACGCTGGAGTACCTAACAAGGTGCCTGCTTCCTCGGTCTCTGCCCGGACCTCTACAAAGGTAAGGAGGAAGATTTCATCATTATGTTTGGTCTGTAGAGTGTTTCAAAGACAGCAGGGGACTTAAATTTCTTTAACCTTTTTCAAATTTAATTTTCAACCAAAATGTAATATAAAGCAAAACGATTGGAGAGCAGGTCAATCAGCATAATGAATAAAAATTTCATCTTGCAACAAATGCATTAGAATTTAAAAAAAAAAAAAAGTGCAGTTGTGCCAGCAACACCCTTTTGAGTGGGTCAATTTGATCAGGTTACAAGAATTCAAAGTGAAAAAGTGATTTACATACATGTATAAATTGATGATGAGCTATGACAAGAAGAACATTTTATAACAGGTTTTGGTAACTTTTAAAGAAAAAATGAAATAAAAATTGAATTAGGAAAATATTATCGTTATTTATGTACTGCAAGAGAAAGAAATACCTCGGCACCGTAGTGAGTTTGGTAAGCTGCGCTGAACTGACCCAAAGGGCATATATAACACCGGTATAGCACACTGACATGATGACTGTAGGAATGGCAAACATTAGGATTAGTTTGCTAAAGCTAAAAACAATGCGGAACTGCTCAGATACGTGACTGTCATCACAGAAGTTCAAGGTCACACTGGACACGTTGTTGTGAAAGTTCTTGTACTTAACGTTCTGTAAAAAAAGTATATGTTGGTAGCAAAGATCAAAACAAGATTTTGTCCCTAGAGAACAAATCGAAAGGGTAATGTTAATGCAAGGTTCAACTTTCAAACTTTGCACGAGAAAATGATTCAAATAATTATAACTATGTTAACTTTTGAAGTAAATTTCAGTACTGGAATGCAATAACAGGAAGTTAATGCCCAATGAATATAAGCAAATAAAAAAAATTAAATCTCTCGTTTCTGTGAATGTAAAAATCACTTCATGGACTTACTAGTAATTTAAGCCCAATGTCATGTTAAAAATTTTGAATTTACCAGTTGGCAGTCAATACAAAGTTTACAAAATGAAACAAGTTGTCATGGTTTTTTTATTTACTTCCATCAGGTTAATTCAAAATTTACAACATGACACCAAGAGTAGGTTTTATGTCATAGAATGGGCTAGCTAATGCTTTCGTGTTCCAATTGATATTAACAAAATATAGGCATTTTGTGTAATTTTGAAATTTGACAGTATGCGTTTTAGTATTATTCTTTCCTTGTGTCACTCATGTAGCATTTTTGATAGACGATGTCGTCCTACGTAGCTTGTACAGGAAAATAGTTAGAAAGTTTAAGCTACTTCTCGATCAAACCAATTCCAACCGAATTTTGTACCAGTGAGGTGGATTTATGCCCCCCCCCACCCCCCTGGCCAAAGGCGATACAACAATCAATATTAATGCAATCCGTAAATATTTATTTTTCTACTCCTACCATCAAGCGGTTCAACTATTATCTTGATTGCAAATCTCAAAAACCTCTCCCTTTACAGAATTGTGAAGTTTTACTTTTTAAAGCAGACAACAGCCAATTGAAATGTGCGAATTTATCTGACAAGTCCTATTTCCTTTCAAGCTGGAAACATGTCATCGGTTGAATGAGGTATTTTTGTATCAAACAAAGTCGTAGAGTTTCAAGTTATTTTCTATAATGGATATAATTCATGTGATATTTTCGGTTATTTCTTATTATTATTAACAGAGACATTTCAATTTAAAACCAAAATTGAGGTCCTTGACAAAAATAGTGTTTAAAAAATTTTTAAAAGAAAAACCCCCACAAAATTAAGGTTTTCCAAGCAACCGAGTATATGGATTTTATAAAAAAGTTGACGTTAGAAGTGACCCCAGAGTACATCACAGTGACGAAGAAAAATGGTTAAAAGAAAAAAAACGCATTCTAATTATTAGTAAAAACATTGACCTATAGGGGGCGTGAAATAAGCGTAAAATTCTTCAATATTGAATATAATTTGATTAAAATGTTGCACAAAGGAAGATGTCGTGAAAACATGATTCGAAAAATTCATAACATTTGAAGTGCATGTATATTTTTAACTTCTTAGCTCCACATTATAATGAAAAATTACTAGTTTTAATCCATCTTGGTGTTGTTTTGTGAAAATGTATTATACTTCCTAAGTTGATTTTGTAAAATTGTTTTAAGTAAAGCTTTGAAGGATATATTAAAATCTCTATTTTTGATTTAAATTATTCTTCTGTTTAATAACAAATAGAATTGTAAGTGGTATTCGATGCGCCAATGCAGCAAAACTACTGTTTCATTATGACTTGTAATTGCGTCTACTTTGCTTCTACAAGTCCATAAACCCTATAAAAATATTTCATTGATTCCAGAAATTCAAAAAATTGAGATTTCTATTTCGTTTATACAGAATATAATTCCTTCATTATATCTGATGCCGACTATATTTTAGAAGTTCTGAGAGGATTTTGATAATATTTCATATTTTTCATATTGTTGAAATGGACTTTTGAGAGAGATTATTTTTTAATACTATTTTTAAAATTAATTTTACCATATTTTATTTAATTAAAATGTTCATCTCAGACATCGGCATCATCAAACAAAAAAAATGGAAACTGGATATATTTGTATTTTGATGCATCATTATAATTTTTTTTTCAAAATCACTCTGATTCTGAATACAAGAATATACTCTGGGGCAGATATAAAAATAATTAAAAATGCTGCAGTTCTTCGTTTTAATCTCTATGTAGTCTTCAGAAATTAGGCCGTTCAACAATCTATTGTTATTCATATTGTTGACCTTAATTGCATAACTTTACTAGGCGACTTGTATTTTTTTTATATTTCAATGAAGCAAAATTTATTCAAAACGTTCACAAGAAAAGAAGAAAGCTCTTGCTGTACGTGGCCTTCACCTCGACTGTAAGATATTCGTACGTAAAAAAAACCCAATGAACTTTAAAAAATGACATATTCGTCTTCCAAAAATCTATTGGAAATACCATGGGTACCCATTTCGCCCCGTTATAAGCAGACCTATTCTTGTATTCACATGAAGCACATTTTTTTCAAAATATTTTACGTGAAAAATAAATTTATCAATAAGTCAAATTCTGAATAGCATTTTTTTACTGATTGTTTGGCCATCATTTACACACTGAGTTGTCCACGGATTTTTCCGTTATTTTCCTATCATGACAGGGAGCACACGGCAGGTATGACCGGTCAGAAGGGGATACTCACTCCTCCATGGCACCTGATCCCACCTCTGATGCCTTAGAAGTCCATGTTTGTTATGCTTCTATTTTGTAATGTTTAATGGACTATTGAGCTCGAATACTGTGCGTTATCTCCACATAAATAGAAAAAATCTATTAATCGCGTTGGATTTGTTAAAATTTTCTTGTGACAGCACATCAATATGGAATGAAAAATATATCAATCGCGTTGGATTTGTTAAAATTGCTTCTTTGTGACTTGAGGGAATTTAAAACGGGGCGAATTCAAATTACACAGTATAATTTCTTAAATAGAACTATGACTGGGCGAATTTAAAACGGGGCAAAATTGTTAACAAATTCAATAGGGCGAAAATTGGATATTAAGAGAGAAAAATGTTTAAAACCTTAGAAGGAATAATTTATCATATTTTCTGGTCCTAAGATTGTTTGTAATAACCTTAAAATGACTGAATCCTTAACCTCAAAGCAGTTATAGTTGCTATTAAACTTCTCTCGCTTTATCTCTGAAGTCAATATCAGAATCGATCAGATGTATTATTTGTATCCTGAGGCTGATTTAATGTGTTAAATTTTTGTAACCTGAAAAGGCTACAAAGTTACATAACATTACATTGTACAAATTTAATGTTTTTGTTTGTCTATATATTAATGAGCAGGTAAGCTTGCAAAACCTTTAATACTTTTTATCATAAAATTTTTTAATGCCACAAAATTTTAGGATGAACAACGTCGGCATAGGCAAATAATGACGTAGCAATTTTTATAGTAAAGCTATTTTTTCAGTCTGATTGAAACCGAACAACTTCTCTAATATAGGACTGTGCTATTTTGATATAAGAATATGAATCTTGTGCATAAACATCAATGATGCACATAATGACAGGCAAAGTATTCAGTAATAAAGATAGATATACATAATATAGCAATTTTTGTAGAATTAATTGGTCCTAAATGTGTGTTGTTTTTTTTTTATTTAACCTTATAAAAATCTTTCACATTTCAATTTCCGCTTATCAAGTAAGCTTTTTAATAATATGATTCCCTGGTAGCAACAAAAGATCTTAATATATTAAAGACTGAAAGCTTTATTGATTATTTTGCGTAATTTATAGCTAAAAAAGCTACAACAAATAATAGGCCTGAATGACCTAAACTGTTAAAATTTCTCAGGTTAACTAGTTTATGTATCTTTCCCTGATTTTAGCTACCGCGTGATAATAATATTTTACACTAGTCTTTTCAACATTTTACTGCCTTTGTTGTCACGTGATAAAATTGGTCATATTTACTAGTTTATCAAAATTGCACTGATTCGATATCGGCTATCACGTGATTCTAATATGTCAGAGTTACTAGTTCATCAACAGTGTTTTGATGTAGCTATCATGTGATACCAATATGTCAGATTTACTAGTTCATCAACAATGCCCTGATGTAGCTTTCACATGATACCACTGTGTCAGGATTACTGTATTGTATTTATTTTTGATATCATATGATAACATTATGGCATATTTTTTCACAGAGATCAAACTTCTTTTATCACTTAAAAAAGGCAATTTTTCCGCTAAATGAGCAATGATTGAATACATTCCAAGGATAATAACAATTATAAAGAAGATGTTATGGAGCTATATCTTCATTCCATGTCCAAGATGGGGAAAAGAATCATCAGGATGCGATTAAAAGTGATAAATGTGAGGTCAATGCTTGTTAAATGAAAAAAAAAAGTGGTAGCAAATCTTTATATCTGAAACCCACTCTCTCATAAAAGGCATTCTTTCCTTGATCGATGTAAATGCTAAATAAAGTCGATTAAACAGCGAAGTTGTAGTTTCTTGGGGTTTGCTTGCTGCTTTGTTGTGCCCTCAAATCACAATAAAGCTTTATTTTTCATTTCACTTTTAGTAAACAGAACTTCCTTCCTAGGATTGGATTTTATCGGATTAATTTTCGGTTGAAAGGGTTCTTACTAAAAAAGACTTGGTATAATTGTCTTTGCTGTCTTACATGACACACATGACAGACAAAACCACGTGAACTTATCTGTAGAGCCCTACTTATATTCTTTGATACACTTATCAGTCGCTTCATATACAGTGTATTATTGCAATTTTCAAAGTTCTTGGTGCAGATTTCCAAATAAATAAGGGCTTTGATTGCACTATTTTATATCAATAAAAGGAAAATCATTTTTGTTCGAAAATATTTAAGATTTAAAAAAAATTGTAATCAGCTTAAACTTCTACAAATGATTAATTATAAATGCTGTATTTATTCTGTCAACACAAAGGCTGAATCATGATTCAAAGAGATGAAAATGTCTGTTTTCAAATTTGAGGTAGCATTTGTGTAAAATGTCTTACCATGATGTAAAAGGCAGGAGACGATAGAATTATAGATATTATCCAAACTGTTGCCAAGATTTTGTGAGTGTTTCCCGATGTGCACCAACTTCTGCTTTTCATTGGCAGGACAATAACAATAAATCTGAAAAATAAAATCATTATCTAGTCATTTATGAGAAAAATTAACGTGTTAAAAGAGATTCAATATACATATTTTGACACACGTGTGACGCAGTGGTTTGAGCATTTGAGCATCTGCTAAAGATTAATTTTGTATGTGTCGTGTTTGAACCCGACGACAAGAAGAACTGTTACATGTATTTGAATGAAACAAAGTCAATATGAAAAATATGAAACAATGGCAATATGTGTCGGCACGAAAAGACACCTCAAGCAGTGGTGCAGTGGTGTATATGTTTTAAATTTTTTCAGTCTATCACCAGAAACCCACCAAGCATTTCGTTATTTCAAAATCTTCTCCATGTGAAGAAAACACATGCAGTGGCCTTCAACTCTACATTCAGATATAAACGGACGATGTTTAAATATTAAGAAAAGTTATTTAAATTCATATATAGACTCGCTATTTCCCAGTGAACCTAAAATAAACAAAAACATTACAGGCTTCCACTTCTGTTTCATAATTGGATGTTATCTTAATTTTGACTTAAGTCTCTTCTTAGTTTATGGACATGAGGCCTGATTGAAAACGACAAAAACAATGACGTTGTAGAACGCCATGGGGCAGCAGGTAATGATGCAATTTTAATTTGATATCAAACTTCTGCACAAAATTTTATATCTAAAACATTATTAATATTCTGAGTGCAATCAAAAATTTTTTAACAAGGTAGCCTACTGACAGACATATATATTACAATGATAATTAAAACATTAGCTAAAGTTTTAATAATGAAAATGTTAGCAAATATAACCTTTCATTGGATCGTATTTTGACTGACTTGTTTCATAACAATTGCTGTCTTTAGTTTTAGATTTTATACTGAATGTTTGCTACGGAATGTTGCGTCTAATTAATCAATACATGGGTCATGGCGTACGAGGGTTGTTCGACAAGTTCGTGGACTTCTGACATGTCATTTTTATGTGCGTTCCAATGGACACAAAACCTGAAATATTATAATATGAAATTAATTGATTTTGTATTAATTTTTTTCTAAATATCAACAAAATAATATTTTTTACACATTAAATGCTGCTTATTTTCAATTCCTTGAAAGTAATATAACGAAGATTACGTCAAAATTTAGTATTTACAAACAATACACTAACTAAGTCATACGCTCCTTAAAAGAACAAAAAAAAATTAAATTTTCAGAGGTCCATGCATATTTTTTGTTCACAGAACTGTATTGCTTTAAGTCCTTATAAGGTAACCTTAACAAAAATTTACTATAGTTAACTATAGGAATAACCACACAATGACGTTGTAAAACGTCATCTCTACCAGAAAGGATTTGCAATTTTAATTTGTGTTCCATTTAGGCAAAATTTTCTATCACCTCTATTTAATAATAGCCAAGCCGATATGGTTAGAGGCAAACAAACCGAAAGATGGCCATTAATTGGCTGGATCCTGAGGCAATCCAAAAAAAAAATACAACTCTTTTGTTGTTAAGAATATATTTACATTCAGCGTAATTTTCTTTATAAAATCCATTAGAAATCCACGACGTTAATTCAAATCTCTTTAACACACAAAACCTGTTGATTATTATATAATATGAAATTAATTGATTTCTGATTAATCGAATGGAATGAAACTGGCAACACCAAAAATGTAATATTTTTACACAATTTAATGAAAATTTTCAATTAAATTAAGTAAAAATACAACAAATGTTTAAAAACTTTTAAAATTAATTTGTCACTTTTTTACCCCTCGAAGCAATGTTCTTATATAAGCTTTGGAATTTTCAACGTCACAATTTTTTGTCACAAACGGCTTTAAGTCCTCTATACAGCACACCAGTTTTAACAAGGGCGCTAAATTCATACTAAAGATTAGGAATATAAACAATAATGAAAAGGGAAAATAAGAGACTTAAAAATAAGCATTGGTGTTCCTTTTAATGCTAACGCTATGTAATAATCAATTTGTATGGTAAAGGCAAACAGGTGTGTTAATTGGCTGGATCCTGAGACAATCCCAAAATAAAATTCAATGCTTAATTTAATCATTTAATAAACTTACACCATCCTCAATTATGTATAATTATTTTTTACGAAAGTCTAGAAGAGTAATATTAGAAAAAATAATAATAAAGTCGTTATAACGACTTGTTATCTTGTAATAACGACTTTTTATCTCGTTATTGCGACTTTTTCCTCTCGTTATTATGACTTTCTTCAGTCGTAATAACTTCTTACCTCCTTATTATGACTTTCTTAAGTTGTAATAACGACGTTTTATCTCGTAATAATGGCTTTTTAACTCGTTACGACATAAAAGTTGTAATAACGAGATAAAAAGTCGTTATTTCAGGATAAAAAGTCGTTTATTACGACTTAAGAATGTCGTAATTACGAGATAAAAAGTCGTTATTACGACTATTTTTTTTTTCCTAATTTGGCCCTTCTAGTCTTTAATATATAAGTGATTTCGAATTGGAAAAGTATCGCCGTGTTAACGTTAATCAGACTTATAGTGTCTGTTCTGAGTTCCAATAGCCTAAAAAAAAAAAATATACCCCAAAGACTTAGTAAGGTCAAAATGTCTGCAATGTAATTTAAATAAGCTAAAATATCTCCTCATAAGTCTTTCTGTTTCAGAACCGTTAATTTCGTTGACTATACAGTGTCACATCATCGGTAGAAGCCAGTCAGAGAATAAAAAATCAACTTACCTGGAAAAAATTGACAAGCAAAAAAAAAAAATTATCCAACCTTATAAACCATATTTTCATCGGTATGTGTGTGTGGGTGGATGGGGTGAGGATGAATCTTCTTTCAGGACGACTTTTTAAAGTTTACCACATTATCCTCATGGGCGTCGGAACCGGGGCTAGGGCTTAGCCCCCCCCCCCCCTTACATTTTTTTTGCAAAGATAGACATTATATAGGCATTGGAAATTGTGGTTTACCTTTTTTGTTGGTTTAGCCACCTCTTTTCAATTTGCTTCCGACGCCTATAATCCTTAATTGTATATACTGCAACAAGAAGTGAGGAGGGAGGGGGCGGAGACTTTCAATGTCCATTCCCCATAGTTATTTATGTATGGTAAAAAGGGGCACAACCCCCCCCCCCATTTCTACATGCCTACTGTATATTCATTATTAAAACTTTTAAAATAAATTCGAAACCTCCTGCTAGTTAGAAAGAAGGTAGGTGTATCGTGTGTTGCTTCCATTGAACATCTATGATTCAGGAAGTATAAAATTTCTGCTTCACGACAGACCAGATCCTAATTAGGCATACTGAATCCTTTTATGTTAAAATCTGTCTCGTGTTCCTCCTGTTTATCGCATCCTAATTAACGCAATTTAACCATTAAAGACAGAATTCCTCATATTATCCTAGTTAATCCCTAACGATCCTAAAGATTACAAGCTCGTATGAACATGTTTGAGCGAAGAGTAAATTAAGTAGAATTAAACACTAACATTTATGAAAAGAAAACCATGATAATAATAAAACATTGGTATTTCATTAGTGGTTGGATGCTAAGAATTAGTTACTCTTCGGTATGTAAGTTAATGGTAATATCAGACGTTTGATGTACCTACACCATCCTTACTTGAGTACAAATGATAAAAAACTGGAGGTTCATTTATGCGTAGAAATTATAACATAGATTTCTATTGACTGTTCCAAGTTCTTATGACCTTAATAGAAAGAGTGGTTTAAATATATATCCTCAAGACTTTGTAGACATTCAAAAAGGTCAAAATGTCTCTCACGAAACGAAAAAAAGCTAGCATAACACGTCATAAACTTCCCGTTTTAGAAACATTTTATGTCGATGGCTGTAACTTCATAAAAGTTTTTTTTAAAATGAATTCAAAACGGTCCTGCTACTTAGATAGAAAGTGGGTGTAACGTGTGCTGCTGCCATTAAACGTCTATAGGTTTCAGGAAGTAAATGAATTAAAAAACATGCGCACGGTATAAAATTTCTGCTTCACGACAGATCAGATGCTAATCAGGCACTGAAGCCTTTTATGTTGGAACCTGTCTCTGGTTCCTCCTGTTCTTTACATCCTAATTAACGCAATTTAACCATTAAAGATAGACTTTGGCAAATTATCCAACTTAATCTTTGCATTTAATGATCCTAATTATTACAAGAATATGGAGACATGTTTGAAATAAAACTAAATAAAGCCGTTTGAAAAGTACTAAATGCATTAGTTAAATTATGATAAATAAGAGATAATTAACCCTGGAAAATGTTCAAGTTCAACCGAACTTCCGATAAACAACTAAAGAAGGATATGGAGATAACGAAGAGTATTTAAAATCAAAGTCCATTAAACAATACAAAATAGGAACAGAGCAAACAGGGACCTCCGAAACATCAGAGGTGGGATCAGGTGCCATGGAGGAGTGAGCATCCCCTGCTGACCGGTCACATCCGCCGTGTGCTCTTTGTCATGATCGTGAAATAACGGAAAAATCCGTCGTTAATTCAGTGTATAAATAATGGACTAACAATTCGTATGAAAAACGTAAGTCAGGATTTGACTCAATGATAACTTGTATTTGCTGACAAGGTCATTGTATCGACCATAGAACTTACGAAATGATAACTTTAAACGAGACTGCTGATATTCTTGTTTCATGAACTTGCTTGTCAATAATTTACCTCGTTTTAGAAATTGTTCATACGCAGAGCATGCTCTTGCGTATCGAATCAATTGAGATATATACACTCCGTCTGCAGGTGATGAAGGTATATTGCTGCATTAGTAAGGGAAGTTGAGGAAAGAAAAATTAAAGTCGTCACGTTTATCATATAGCTTGGTTGTTAGGTTACTATTAACGTCTTTTTCAAGTAAAATATCTAAGTTTGAAACAGATGTGTCAGACTCTGTGGTATCTTTTATCTCAAGCTCTCCTGGATATATCGTATCGACGTAGGAATGGAAATTATCATTGTTAATTGACAATATGTCGTCGAT